TCCACTTCGGAGGTGAGGGACCTGAGGCTCGGAGAGACAGACGACCTGCCCAAGGTCTCCAAGCTACTAAGACAGCAAATCTAAACTCAGACTGAGGAAGCCTGACTTTGAGCCTCTGTCCCACTTCTGTTCCCAGGAACTCCTCAAATTGGAGCAAAGAGAAATCGACATTCTGAAACGAGCCTGAAGAGAGAGAGGAGATAAGTCCTGACCCGCTTCAACAGCCAGAAAATCCCAAGACTAATTTCAGAGCAGATGGCGGGCGTCTGTGGCTCCCCCAACACAGATCTTCTCAAACTGGGCACATTTGTGTCTATAAGAAGAGTATAGAATCCAACACAGGGGTGTTGGCTGGGGCAGCTAAAGTGGTCCCCTTGAAGCCCCAAATGTCTTTCAAGCCTCCTGTTGTATTTAAGAAATCCATGTGTATTCTGCATCCCTGCCCATAACGTATCTGCTACAATACAAAACAGCTTTCTCCTCCTCCAAATCTTCAAGTAAAAATGAGACTCTAGAAAGCTAGGCATGTTTATGCTGGGGTTTCAATTCCCCCAAATACCCCGACTTGCCCACAGAGGGGCCTACGCCCAGGTAAGTTCTGACTCCAGGTGGTCCAAGCCCATCAGAGTTGGGGTGCTTAGGGACTGCAGGCCCGGACCCTAGAATGACAATCAAACCTTCCCAGCCCAGGCTCTCAAGCTGCGGAGGGGGCCACAAACCCCCACAGTTTGGGCTCCATTCCACTGAAGGCTTTGGCCACCTGTAAGCCCCCACAATGCCCCCATTCCTCACCACATGGTTGCTCCCAAGCCCCTCAGCCCTGTGCCAAGAGGAGGAAGTGGGGGAAGAGAGGGGTCCCATTCTTTGGCCCCAGAGCCCGGGGGTGGCCCGCCTGCTGCCGGCAGGAAAGAGGGAATTTGGAGAGATTTCCGCTGCGGATGTGCCAGATAATACAGTGGAGAGGCAGCGTCAACAGGGCATGTGCCTGCCTGACGAGAATGTGCTGCCCCTCCTCCAAGCACAGGACTACAGGGACTGTCCCCGGGGCCCTGCTGGAGTGTGCGAGTGCTCAGGGTTCCACAGTTAGTGAGTAGAACACCAGCCCCTGTGTCTTCCTGACTTTACCTGGTTGGATTTCCTGGCATTCTGGGAAGGGAAGTGGAGATAGGGGACAGACACACTCAAATACACCCACATACACCAAATAGTCACTGTCCCTTGGCCAACCAGCAAACTCCTATGCATCCTTCAATACCCAGCTTATGCTCCTCTATATAGCCTTCCCACATTGCCCAGTTCCTGGCCCCTTTGTGCCCCATTAGGGTATCTATTACTTAACCTTATGTTTACCAAATAGAAAGGAGCACTTCCTACGTGTCTGGCACGATGCTGGGTTCTGGGATACGACGGTGAGATAGATAAACACCATTTTAGCTCCAGGGGAATTCACAGCCTGGCTTTCATGCCCCATTTGAAATTATTTCTGCACATATTAGGATCCTCTATGAGACTGGCAGCTCCTGGGGAGCAGAAATGGAGTTCAATTTACCTGCGTCCCATGGCTTAGCACAGGGTCTGGCATGAAGTAGGTGCTCAGTAATGTTTGTTGAATGGATAGATAGATGAATGAATGAATTAGTGAGTGAGTGAAAGAATGAATGGCAAAACCTACCACGTGCACATTAAACATGCTCTCTAGGGCCACAGAAGTGAGCAGTATTTCAGTGCGCAGGGAGACCCTGTGGAGATGGGACACCAGGACGCCCACCTGCCTGGCACAAGAGCCTGGCTTTGGCACACTTGCAGCACACCTGTGGAAAGCTTCTCTGGCCCAGGTCGCCCGGCAGGCCTGGGCCACTCCGAGTGGAGGAACTGGGGCACAGTGGCTGCACCTAGGGCTGCACCCCGGTTTTTCCAGTTCCCGATGCACGCCCCTCAGGTGGCAGCGTGGGGTGACTCAGGGACAGACGCCCTCTGCATGATGCAAGTCCAGCCCCTGGCAAAGCCCCTCCCCCAGGCCCAGCCACCTCCCAGGGTGGGGGTGGTGAGGTCGTGGGGTCAAGAGGTCCCAGTGGCAATTCACCTGGGCCAGTCACCTCCCCAAGCCAGTCCCAGCAGGTGACCGCAGGCACCCCCTCAGAACAAGCATGTGGAGCCTGGACTTTGTCTCCATGCCCTGGCAGGCAGCAAATGGCAACCTGTAAGTTATTGACCCTGCAAATAAGGGGAACTGATAACTTCATGCCCTTGTGGCTTCTCACTCCCCTGCAGGCCCTGTAGTCCCTGCAGGAGAAGGGCCATCCCCATGGCCCGATTGCTGCCAGTACCCTGCCCCTTTCACACACACCCTGGGGAATTATCTGTGGGCACATTCCTCCGCCATGCCGCGATAAGCACCGCACCCCGCCTCCCGCCCTCTCCCCACCACCAGCCTTTTATCTTCTATTTGCTCTCCCTCGCCTCCTTCCGTTCTGGGGACCCATTCACCTCCGGCAAGGGTGGGAGGGGCCGGTGCCCGCCTGGCAGAGCTGCCAGCACCTAGATTTGCTCCCCGCTGTGAGCTGAGGGTAGGGTGGGCAGGACACAGAGGTCAGAGCCACCACGGGGGTGGGGGGAAAGGGGGCTACCACCAAGGTCCCCACCCCTGCAGGCCAGAGGAAACACTACAGAAATAAGGACCAGTGGTACTCCCCAGGGAGGGGACAAGCCTGCGAGCCATGGTCACCAGCTCATAGAGCTCCCAGCCTGGGGATCAGCCACATCCTGAGGAAGTAGGGATCCTGCGAATGGCCCCTGTCATGGTCCAAGGCCACTCTGCCTAATGACCACCTTAACCAGAGCCACCCCCTGCCCAGGTGATGCCTTCCCTTTGGCCTAGTCCAGGGTCACTCGGTATGCCAACACTGGGATCCCCTTCCTCACCACACGGTCAACAGCTTGCCAGAGCAACCCATGTTCTCAGACTGAGCCACAGCAGAAAGTCACAGGAGGCAGCCTCTGACCACTGGGTTGGCAGGGTCCTTCCGAGCCACTGGTCCAACCCACTCATTTTACAGATGGGGAGAACAGGGCACAGAGGGGACTTGCCAAAGTCACACACCTTGTGGGTGGAAGGACCCATGTCAGGGGCGACTGGGGACAGTGTACTGCCCTCCTTGGGCCAGGCCCCAGTCTTTTAGTCCCTTGTCGGTTTCCTCCCTGGGCCTCAGTTTCCTCATCTGTAAAATGGGCATAAAGTCCTTGTCCTCTCTGGGTTGTTTGTGAAGACGGAAGGAAACTTTGCTTGTGAAAAGTATGGTGCCTGAAATGGGGTGCCCCTGTAAACTGAGGGATAGTGAAACTAGGGTAGGGAGTGGATATGCCCAAGGGACTGGGCCCCTGGAGGGAGCAGCAGGCTCCAAGGAGGGAATCCCTGACCCTCCACAGCCCCCATCCCCAGCTCTGGCCAAGGCCGCTGGCCACCTGCTCACCTGGCCTATGGTCCCCCTGGGCTGAGGCGCCAGCCGGGGCCCTGCCAGCTCCACTGCTGATGCCAGCACAGGAAGCGGAGACGAACAGAGAGACAAAGCAGCCCCAGGGAGGATGACACGGTCGGCCTGAGTGACTCCACTGTCCCCCAGGCAGGGCTGGGAGGCGGGGTGGGAGCTGTAGGGAAGCTGGCTCATTCCTGACATAGCTCACAGGAGCTCTCCTGGGCAGTGTGCCCACCTGTTCACACACAGCACCTGGGAGATGCCTCCCTTCCGCTGCCCTTAACTCTTTCCTGAGTGCTGGACTTCCTGGGGAAAGAACCCTGAGCAGAAACGGAAGGATTACAGCAATAACCCAGACAAGGTGCTGGGTGACCTCAGTGTACCACACCCCCTCTCTGGGTTTGGTTTGTCATCAACAGAAGCCCCAATAGGAGAATCTGGGTCTCTTGGATCCTTGGGAGGGTCAAGCAGGGAGGGCAGACCCTGTGCCTCTCTCCATTTCTCCCTCAATGGCCTCCCAATCATCCCCACCTCTGACAGAGCCTCCCATCCCTGCACCAGGAAGGGCCATCCCGGGGCTGCCCAGAGAGCCTGTACCAGGGCCAGGAGCTGAGTCAGGGATTCCAAAGGAACTGGTCATTTCCCGCTCCATTTCCTGACCCATCCTGAAGCCTGGGCACCACTGCACCTCCTGGATTCAAATCCTGATGCAGCCACCTCCTAGCTGTGTGACTTCAGGTAAGCCCCTTCACCTCTCTGAGCCTCAGTTGCCTCGTGTCCCTGCCTTACAGATGAGTGGTGCAGATTCAGCAAGAGCATCCAGATAAAGCACTTGCTTAGCTCGTGGCTGCCCCTCGGGAAGCTCTTGTCTGTGGTAGTTACTACCATTACCTCCATCAGGATCACGGTCAGGGGCTGCTGGCAAGAGTCTGGAGGCATAAAAAATAGCCAGGCTGAGGGTTCCCGGCATCGTACCATGGTCCAGGCACACCGAAAGGAATTTTGGTGGGGGGATCCCAAGGAGGAAAAACCAGGGCAACAGGTGACGCGATTGAGAGAGTCCCACCAGCTAAGTCAAAACTTTCACTCTTGGAAACTAATTCTCCTGCTGGGCTGAGTCCTCCCAACCGGGGCCTACTCAGCTCTTTACAAACAAAGCCTGCCAGAACCCTGACCCCCATTCTCCAGAGGAGGGAAGGCTGCCCCCCTTCCTGGAGAGACACCCCCCCCCCTCCAACCGTCCACTTATCTCTACAGGGCCTCAACCACCAGCCTGTGGAAAGTTTTCAGCTGCCCCTCACCCCCACCCCCGCATTCTTGTGCGAGGATGTCATGTGGGAGGAGCCTGCTCGCCCCACTGGGCCGCCTCGTGCCCCCCCCCCCCAAGTCATTGTCTGAAACTGGGAGTGTGCATTTGAGGTCACCTAAAGCAGGGGCCGCCTGGGGAAGGGGAGCTCACTCAGCAGAGGGGAGCTGAGAGCACAAAGGATGCGAAGGCTGGAGCAGAGACCACACCACAGGCTTACAGCCAGAAAGGCTCTGAGGGAATATCTTATCCAGGGGGTTACAGACTGGGTTAAGCAAGGTTCCGAGGATTTGCTTTGGGAGGCAAGTGGGGACCATCAGAAAGGGCTTCAGCGTTCTCCAACATTTCAACCTCCTTTGTGGGTTGCAGGATCCATGGCTAAAAAAAATCAAGTATAAAGTCCGCTGGTGTGGTTGAATTTTCTCATCTTACTGGCAAGAAACCCAAGGCCAGAGATGAGGAGGAATTCACTCAAGGTTGCCCAGTGAGTGCATACAACTGCAGGGGCTAACCCTGCAATTTCTGGATGAAAAATAAACCAATAAAAAGAAACCCCCAATTTCTCAACACCCCGCTTATCTCAGCAAAGAAGCTCCCAGAGAGAGGGTATGAGCTGGCTTTCCAAAGGTCGGCTTGCATTCCACAAATGCCCTGCCCCACACCCATTTCCAGAAAAAGTCACCCATTGAAAAATCCACGTTGTTATAGAGATTTCTGCTGTCATAGGCCTCGGCTGCACCAAACCGCAGCCTCTTCAACGTGAACTCACTGATGCCCAGGCCCTGTTCCCAGAGAGTCTGATTTAACTGGCTGCTTTTCTGGGCTCGGTTTATTATCAATAGAAGCCCCGAAGGGAGAAGCTGGTCTGCTGCCCTTCGGGCAGGAAGGGCATACCCTACAGCTTCCTCTACCTCTTGCTCAGAAGCTCCCAGGTGATTCTAGCATACCACCAGAGGATAGGAACTCCCAGTCCAATTCAATACTTTTGTGTAAAAAAGAGGAGTGAAGCTCAGGGAGGTTAAGTGACTTGCTTAAGGTCACAGTGCACCAACAACAGAAATGAAATTAATTCCTGGGACTATAGCAAGTGTCCACAGTGCTGGTGCACAGTAGATACTCAGGATATATTCGTGGGACGAACCAAAAATAACAGTCACATTTAAAAGTAGTTACGTGTCAGGCACTGACCTAAGCACTTTATGAGTATGAAGTCATTTGATGATCATAACCACCCTATGAGATGGACCTTACGAGGTATGATCATCTCCATTTTACAGATGAGGAAACCCAGGCACAGAGAGGTTAAAGAAATGGCCTGAAGTCACACAGCTATACGGAGAACTGGGATTTGAACACACAAGTGTTCTTGTTCTAGGATCCTTGCTCCTAACCTCCACACTATACTGTTTCTCCATTCATTCATTCTCAATGAATGAATGAATTCAGTCATGAAGAAGGAAACTGATGTCCAGTGAAGGCCCTGTAATTTCCACTAACAGAACAGTGGTTCTGCACATCAGAGCAAGGAGGAGCTTACCAAGATCCTGCAGTGGCAGAGCTGAGACTGCAACTCAGGAATACAGCCTCCCACCCTGGCATCCCTTCCCTGCCACCCCAGAACTGTCACTCACCCTGGCAGGTGTCCTCCACCTTCTCGTAGCCTGCCTGGCACAAGCACTGCCCAATGGGCACCAGCCACTCGCCATCTACCGCACAGTGCATACGGGGTTCTTCACCCCCTGGTGGCACCACAGCGTGGTCCACACAGGTGCCAGCCACGGTGGCCAGGGAGGGTGCATCAGAGCCGGCGATGGTCTCAGGGAACTGAGCCAGGCCCTGCAGCAGCTCAGGGCATTTCTTGTAGTAGACGCGGACAGAGAGCAGTGCCACACAGGCACCAATGTCCTGGAAGGCCAGGTAGAAGCCCTTGCGGCTGAGTGGCCCCACGGAGCGCTCCTCCACGTTCAACTTCACATGGCGCGCCTCAAAGTCACTGCTGACGGTGATCTCGTCAGGAGCAATAGTGTCAATCTTGTTGAACTGGCGCTTCTGGAAGTTGGTGCCATAATCCACATCCGATTCAGCATAGTAGAGGTTGAAGGTCTCCTTGCAGGAGCTGGCACCACCAGGGAAGCTGTTGCAGTCACGCACGGTGAACTTGAGCTCAATGAAGATGCGTTCCGCCTCGCCGCGGTACACCCAGTTGGTACGGAGCCAGTTGTCCTGGTCACCAGCCACAACATTGCACACGGAGTACATGTAGATGGGCATGTCATCCATGATGTTCTGCATCAGGTCCCACTGTGCGAGGAAACTACAGGTTAGTGTGGGCAGGCACCCGGGGGAAACTGAGGCTCAGGTGGTGGAATGGTACATCAGGAAGATGCTTTCCAATTCTTGCTGTCCCCATTCTACAGGACAGAAAAGTGAGGCCCAGCAAGGTGCAACTAGAAATAGCTGAGATGAGACCTAGCCCTGGTCTTTCTGGCCCCAGTGTCTGGGTGCTGAACCTCTATATTAGACTGGGAGCCTGGGGTGGAGTCTGGGCTTCCGTGTGACCTCAGGTGGGTCACTTAAGCTCTCTGAGCCTCAATGTCCCCATCTGTCCCCATAAATGATAGAATGTCTACAAAATGCTGAGTACAGTGCTTGGCAGGAGTCGACCAGGCAGCTGGTATTATTATTGTTGCTATAGCTCATCGTACATGTGCCCGTGTGTGTCAACATGTGTGTGAACGGGAGGGGAAGGGGTTAAGTCAAAAACAATGGATGATCCTCCATCGTTCAGAATTTGGCTTTGGAACAGATCGGTGCATGTTCTTCCCTCCTGAGAACAGGCAGCCTCCTCCAGGAAGACTTCCCAGGTTGGGCCAAGTGTGCCCCTCTGGGGCCCTCACGGTCTCCATGTCCCCTTTATCATAGCACTTGGCATGTGCTGACACCTACGTCTGGCTCCCACACTAGACCCTGAGCTCTCCACAGGGCAGGGACTACATCTAATTCATCTCTGTCCCCAAGGCCTGCTTGGGACACCATAGGTGTTCAGAGAAGTATTTGTTGAATGAATCGATGAACTAATGAATGCAGAGGGGATGAGGAAAGAGGCGCGGGCTGCACTGTGGGGCACTGGGCAAGGCCCTGCATGCCCTTGGGCCTCAGTTTCCCACTCTGTACAGTGACTGGGTTGGACTGGGTGATCTGTGTTCCCTCCTAGCTGGACATTCCAGGACCCCAGCAATCTGCTCAGAACTATACCCCTAGCCTCCCCAGAGCTAGGGTGACCAGAGAGAGGCACACGACTCACGCAGATCTGGACAGCTGTGGGAACTGTTACAAGTTCCCTGGAAGGGCTGGCTGGTTAGCTCAGTTGGTTAGAACGCAGTGTTGTAACACTGTGGTCAAGGGTTTGGATCCCCTCACTGGCCAGCTGCCCCCACACCCCGCCAAAAAATCTAAACCAAGTAGCCCCTGGAGACACCCCTCTCCCCAGCTCAGGAAAACTTAGCAAGGGCCCATTTTACAGAGGCAGAAACTGAGGCCCAGAGAGCAGCAGTATCTTCCCTAGGATCACACAGCAGTCACACACAAGGCTGGGGAAAGAATCCCAGTCTCTTGCCCAGAGTCCTGGTCACAGCAGGACAGCACAGAGGGGAGGAAACCAGGGTGGGAATGAGGCAAAGCAATCTCGCCCAAGCAGGAAGGGGGTGAAACCACTTGGGGGAGAGGGGAATGGCAAGGAAAGGGATCCAGCAGAAAGAAACTGGATTCTCAGGCCAGCCCGTGGCTCACTCGGGAGAGTGCAATCCTGATAACACCAAGGCCACGGGTTCGGATCCTATATAGGGATGGCCGGTTTGCTCACTGGCTGAGCGTGGTGCTGACAACACCAAGTCAAGGGTTGAGATCCCCTTACCGGTCATCTTTTTAAAAAAAAAAAAAAGAAAGAAAGAAACTGATTCTTATCCCAGGATTGTGGGGAGCTGGGAGCCACTCTTCCCTGTTTCGCCTTCACGCCTCACCTCCTGGGCTGAGACCATGAAGACAGGTGGACCTTTTAACCCCTTCCCTCCCAAGAGGTGGATGGAGGGAGCCAGAAGATCCTTCTGACTACCGTCCCGCTCCACTGGGGCTTTCAAGTGGGGCTTTCAACTGCCTCCCCAGCTCCTTCCACTTCTCAGGCCTGTTTCCTACATTCCGACCCCAGCCAGGCCTGGCCGGGCCAACTCTGAGCCTGGTTTGAACCCTGGCTGAGCTGTTGGAGATAAGCCAGGTGTCATTCTCTCTGGGCCTCAGTTTCTCCAACTATACGGGGGCCCAGCAGTCCCATTCCCACTCCCCTACTCAGCGCTGAAGGTTTACTTACCCCTTTGCCATATGGGTGTGTGAGCCAGCCGAGTTCCCCTTTAGCGGCAGCAAAGTCCAACAGTACAACTGGAAGAGAGATGAAGGGAGGGCAGATGAGCATGGGGGTGTCTGTCTCCAGGAGTCCCTGATGGCCTCCTCAGCTCTCAGAGTGAGACCCCACTACACAAAGTCACCACATCCAAGAAACCCATCCCTTGACAAGTGGGGAAACAGAAGCCCAGAGAAGGGATGGGACCCAGTGGAAGCCAGGCAGCAGGTTGTGGTCAGGACAGGGCCTCCTTTCTCCTAGTCCAGTGCTCCAGCCCCCTCAGTCTGCTCCCAGCTGGGCAGAGCAGGACAGGGGCGCAGCCCAGCAGGAGAACAGCAGCTGGGCAGAGAGCTGGGGCGAGCAGGGGTATTAAGTGACACCACTGCCGCCCCGTCTGCTTCCTTGAACAAGGCCTCTCGGAAGCACTTCATACCCGTGGGCCTTGGGGACACTGGGCTGGGGACACTAGTGTCTGCTTCTGCCACATCCCCCCCAGCATGAAACACCCCACCCCCACCCTGCCCACCTAGCACACGCATATGCACACGTATGTACACACATGTCTCGGGGCACTCCAAGAAGAGAGCACTGTCAACAGGTGGGAACAACTCCAGGAGGGGAGGAGGAGGGAGGGTGTCTGGAAATTGATCTTCCTACCACAAAAGCCACAGAGCAGGCGGGATAAAGCCCTGAACACACAGGGGCCTCTAGGAGGGGCCCAAAGATACACACAGCTGGCAAGTTCCCCTCCCTGGTAAAGTCACTCCTGCTGCCCCTGCCTCTCACACTCTGGCCACTGCCCTGCCAGGGGAGCCAGGGTTCCCTGGTGAACCAGGGATGGAAACCCTTGTAGGGGACTTTCCAGGCCCAGAGGGACAAGGTACTAGGACCACTCTATCCCCACAGACATCTGCAGCCTGGTGAAGAAACACAATGCCAGGGGCTTCCCGAGACCTAACCCTGCCCTCAGGCACCCCTCCTTGGTCCACACCTGGTTCACTGCCAGGCTCAGCAGCTGCAACCAAGACCCAAGACCCTAGGTACTGCCTCTCTCCATTTCCCAGTAAAGTCCAGGTAGTGGCCAATAAGTGCCTCCCTCCCTGGAGGGAAAGGGAAATGAGGTATAGAACCTATGCAAGGTCCTAGATTCAGAGGGTAAAGCCCTCAGGTGGAGGGGGAAGGGACCTCTGGGCCCTGCAGATGAGGAATGCAGCCTCAAACAGCAGCATTCCTCAAGGCCAAGATCAGGAAGAATGACTCCAAGGGAAGAGCTCCAAGCAGGCCGGGAGCAGGTGGCCTGGTCTGGAGAGATGGGAGGTGGGTCCAGGGTCAGAGGCTCTGAGGGTCTTAGCAACCTTTCCTGAAGGTAGATCACCCTCCATCCCTGGGCAGAAGGCCCCCAGGCCTGGGCCTGAGGCACTGCCACCACGACCTACTGACCCGGGCCAAATCTCTCTAGGAAGGGTCCTGCAGCCCAGACAGGGAAGAGGAAATCTGGTGTGGCACCGGTACATAGCAGAGGCTGTGGGGATAGGGGAGGGTGGCTGGGGGTGGGAGGCAGGGGCAGGGATTTGTTCAGACATGCCTAGGGCCCAGGCTTGGAAAACTCACTAACCCCACTAGCAAATGGAATGTTCCAGCTATACAGGAAGGAATCTGGGGGTTCCTGACTTCAGCTGGGTGGGCAGGAGGACAACAGTGAGTGCTCCTCACAATCCTGTACACACACACACACACACACACACACACACACAGAGGCAGGAAGCTAAGATCTGTGCCTCTGGGCAAGGGGGTTCATTGCTCCCAGGATCTGAAGGGTTAACCTGGAATGGAGGGTCCCCCACCATCCCTCCCAGAGAATCCTCCCCTTCCAGCCTGGACCTGGCTCTAGAAGTATCACAGGGCTCAATCTGAGAAGAAAAGAAGCCTTCATGCAGGAAGGAACCTCTGCCAGGGGCTTCCAGCCACAGCCCCCTCCCCAGGAAATTCCCTAGATCCAACCACCAGGAACAGGAGGAGCCCAGCCAGGTCCCTCGACCCTGACCGGGTCCCTGGTGCATGTGTGGCTCTTTCCCTGTGTTCTTCCTGGGACGAGGCTCCTGCTTCCCCGGAAGGGGTGGGAGCCTGGGAGCCCCTCATGGTTTCACTGAAAGGCCTGGGCTAAGCAGGGCTCACCCAAGAGCCCTCTGTCCCCTCACCTTCCCACCCATCCCAGGGGGGGGGGAACCTCCTTCTTTGTCTTAAGTTCCATCATAAATGTTCTCCTTGTGGGTCCATATTGCTTTATGGCTTTTTAGGCAAATATAGTATTACCACCCACTCCCCTATTGCCATCTCCCTGCTCCCCCCACCCCTCTTTAACTGAGACTAGCATTAGCTAATGAAAGGGGGGAGGTAGGGGATTCTGAGGAAAAATGAAGAAAACAAAAGAGAAAGGGACAGAGGGCAGACTGGGGCAGAATCAAGAAGCCAAGGACTTTCCAGGCCTCCTGAAGACTCTCCAGCCCTCTTCCCATCAGCAGCACCCCAGGTCAGCAGCACCCACCACTTCCCAGGTCCCTGCATTCCCTGGAAAATCCACCATGAAACCAACTACAAGGCAGGGGGGTCTTGGTTCTGGCAGCCCAAGAGGCCAGATGCTCGGGTCTGACGTTCTCTGTGCAGAGAGCCCTGGTTGGCAAGGGCTCGGGCCTCCCTCAGTTTCCCTATTTGTAAAAGGAGGGCAGATTCAATGACCACTGAAGACCTAACAGACTCCACCTGGGTCTCCAAATAGAGTGGAAGGGAAGAAAGAAGTTAGCAGCAGCCTGGGTTGAGGGTGGAAAGGGCATGTGTGTCTTTCTATCTGCCCCCTACCCACCCCCAGGGGACGACCACATCCAGCCTGAATCCCAAAGAA